ATTATCAATATTCACTAGTGTCTTATCAAAATGTGGAATAGAATTTAAGACAATCTTATAATTAAAACTCTTACCTTGCAAGTTGATGTTGGGAAGAGATAATGCTTGGAGGTTGGTCAAATTTTCAATGTCACTTGGAATGATTCCTGGCTTGAACATGTTATAACTTAATTCTAACTGTGCTAATTCTTTTCATTGATGCCAAATGGAAGGTATTTCACCAGACAAATCATTTTCAGCCACAAAAAATATTTCAAGCTTTGGAAGCTCAAGACACATATTTGTTGGAAGACTCCCTGATAATTGATTCATTGAAAGTTCACTGTCTTGTAGCTTTGAATTGTTAAACAATGAAGATGGTATAGAACCAACAAGTTGATTCACTCCGAGATACAGCACCTTTAGTTGTGAAAGATTACCAATGTCATTGGGAATGTCTCCTTGAAATATTAGGAGGGAGAAAAAAGAGCATGTAAGTAACAATTTTATATTTTTATAAAATAAAAGCATATATAGTATGGAAAAAATCACAAATATATTCCAAACGATTGAGCACAAAACTACGATTATTTTAGAAATTAAAATTAAAATATAATTTAGATTATCCAATTAAAATTAAAATGTTCCAAATTTGTGCCCTGTAAGGGTTACTCATTGGTTTTTTAATGAAAAACAGACCATTCAAAAAGTTTTTAAAGAAAGAATAATAAACATTTATTTTTAATCATTGATTTTAGATTTGTTTTCACTATCATTATAACAGTATTATTTTTCCCATGGTGTGACTTTATTAACTTAATTTATCAAGAATTGGATGCCAATTTATTTCTTCCAAAAGAGATAACAAAAAATGCTGGTAAAAAATAAAAAGAAATGTACATAAATTAAAAAAAAAAGAAATTGAGACAAACCTAGATTCCTCCATGACAATACATATAAACGATATTGTAATCAAATTCAAAGATAAATGAGCCTTCAGATCCGTTTGGATTAATAATTACAGCAAAAAATTGGATGACTAATTTTCTAAAAAAAATAAAAATGTTGCAAAATAAAAAGAAGAAAGTGCATGAACATATCAAAAATAAAAAAACAGAAGAAAACAATATAATTGAGACAAACTCATATTCCCTACATGAACATTGAAGGATTATATCCAGCAAACCAAATTCAGAAGTTCAGAACAAAGACGATTGTATATGTTAAAAATAATCCAAATTGTTATAAGACAACTTAAATAACTCAAGTGAAGATAAGTTGGAATTTCTTATTGAAATCACCCCTGAAAATTTCTTACCCACAAGTTAACCTTGATTATTTTTGCTACTTTCTCTCCTATTCATTTTAACTTTATATTTTTCTCTCTCCCCATCATCATTTATTTATTTGACTCCTTTTTCAGTATTTGTTCTATTTCTTATGTCTCAAATTTTAATTTCAAATTAAATAGTTATTGAATAATTATTATAAGAAAAAATTTAATTTGGAAAGTATTATTTAATTTCACCAAGCATAATTTTGGAATTAAAAATTTAGCACAGTTCCTTTATAAACCCAAATAAATTATAATGATGAATTTTATTTGTTTGTTGAGTATTACGAATATATTGTTTGTATGCTCTATTATTAATTTCAGAGTTTTGTGTTTGTTTTCTTTATTGTTATTGGATAGGTTGTTATTCAAAACCAAGTTAGATAGAGTATCTAAGTTTGTGTACCATTTTATTTTGTTATTCTTAATTTCAGAGTATATAGGTTTTGAAAGTTATTAAAAATGAATTTGTTTTGAGGAAAAGAAGAGTTGTTTGAGTGCACAAGATATGGTTGAACTAGATTTATTTTTAGTTTTAAAATTTCGATTCAATTCCTTCATTATAATTTTAAATTTATTTTGTAAATTTATTTATATCTTTTTTTCTATTTAATTCCTCCACTATGAGTTTTAATAATAAAATAAATTAATTAAATTATATATACAATTGTTGGGAGAAAATGAAATAAATGTTCAATGATATATGGACTTGAAATGTATGGCAAATACTAATGGACAGGAAGATGTGATGATTGGGCTTGCATTGAAGTGCTCTAATTAGAAGATTTACTTTTAAAAATTTTAAGCTTTTTATACAATAATTAATATTGATATAAGATTAGAATGAATTTTTTTTTATAAGATGAGATTAGAAGTAATGATAAATAGTAAAGTGTCCAATCTTGTTATGGTATACCTGGTATTATATTTATTAAACTTTTTATTATTTCTCATGAAGTCACATCAAGCAATATGCATAGATAATACTATCACCATTTTATTTTCTTTTCCTATGTATATGTGATTTTTTGTTTGTTAAAAATTAAATATTTTAAAAGCTATACAAGTGACAAAGTACATGCATATTTAAAATGCATTTGAAAATATGAAATGTGCTAGCAAAATTAAAAACAAAACAAGAAAACCTTGTTTCAGTATATTGGTAAAAGCATGTATATTAGAAACAAAAATTTAAAACTCATCCATGTATATAGACATATCATGAATATAATCAAAGTTATCAGTTAAAAAAAAAAAGAAAAGAAAAGTTGCATATGAAAAGAAAATGCAGGGAAATGAAAAACTAAAGACAATACAGAAGCATCAAAATCTGAGTGATCCTATTTCTATTATCCCTATCAAATTATATTATTATAGTGAAAAAAATGATGTCGATATTACAAATCATCAACATTAAACATTCCTAAAAGCTTACTGTCAGTTGTAAGTGATAAAATCCTTCAAAATATAATTCTTTTAAAGATGTATAATTACTTTTTGCATTCAGAAAAGTTTCCACAAATATAACTGATTTAAAATTTTTATTTCACCATTATTTGAGTGTGTGTCGTCAAAATATGCGTGTAAACAAAATGATTTCATTTCAAATTTATTTTTATCCAAGAGATTAGGAAGAAAAACAGACATAGTTTACTTCAACAAGCCAACCATGTACATATACGGATAGGGACATATATGCAATAGCACCTAAATATAATTCTTTATAATTTTAATTGCTTTGGGATTAAATAATTAATCTAATATTCTAATCCATAGCTAATTGACATTTTATTCATAATTACCTTGGGAAAAAGTACACACGTTCACAAGTGTAAATACCTGAAAATGAGTTGGTGCTCAAATATAATTTTTTTTTTCAAAAATGTGCATTTGCTCATTGATTTTGGAATACTTCCCTATAAAAAATTATCATCAACAGCCAACAATTCCAGAAAAGTGAGATGATGACTTTTTTTTTTTGGAAAATTGGCATTTAAAAGATTCCTTCCAATTAGGTTAATGTCTCTTAAAGAAGGCATGTTCCAAAGAAATGAAAGAATTTCATAATGCAAAATATTTGATTTATTTAATTTGATGGTTTAGACAAACTAGCTTATATTTCAGGAATGGAAATATCTTCAGCTTAAACTGTTAGAAGCAATATAAAATAAGCACTAAATTTATAGAATAAGCATAAGGAAGAATTTTCTAAAGTATGCATTTTTTTATGCATGTTTACAGTACGAAGACTTTCTCAATCTAGTGTTGCATGTCTTTTACGTTAATGATGAGAGGGGTCATTATAAGCATTTTTATTGACACAAGATTCAAAAACAAAATTTATACTTAATGATCATATCCGTCTTAAGAAAATAAAGCTCACAATGTTAAGAAATATAATTATTTTCAGATATTGAATTCATTACTAACTCATTAAGTCCCATATAGGGTATCAACATACATAGGCCAATGAAGATTATTTTTCTAGCTGATAAAAATATAACTTATATCTTATAAGGACACGTATTTAAAGTAGGTCATGGATGCGAGATCCTTAGTAGATGTTAACATGTAAATATATGTGAAAGTACTTTTGGAGTTATAAAGCATATCCTAAATCTTAAGTTCTGAATTATTGAAGACTTAACTCACCTAATTTTTTTTTCTAACCGATATAAAATATAAAAAAGTTGTAGTGCGTTTCATTGCTATCATTGTCTTGGGGGTATCCGTGAAGTCATTGGCTTACTTCCTTTGAAGTGTCCCAATCCAAATGTCATACTCCTTAGAATTTAAACAAATACCTCTTTTCATAGAATGAGATAACACAAATCAACACAAAAATTTCAATATTAGAACTGAGTTATTCAATAATATTATTACTTTTTTTGAGTGAATTCAATAGTGTTATTAATGAAAAAGTGAGTGCCAAGTTATATCACCTTACTTTTTGAATAGTTAACTTCAATTATGAAAATGAAGGCCACAGATTTTTGGTGGTTTGTGTAATTATAATGGATTTAGTAATTATCATTAAGGAAAAACAACATTCGCATCTAACATTGGTTTAAGAACAAGAGAAAGAGATGAAAATGAAGAGAAAAGAAGCTCACACTTCCCTCCAAGTCCAAATCATGTTATAAATGTGATAATTTATACATTTCATATACGAACTAAGTATAAATTCTTTATATCTAAAGTTTGAATTTTATTATATTTATTTTTAGCAAATAATATACATAACAAAAATTAATATTTGACTACAAACTTTTTTAAACGAAATAATAGTTAGTAATAAATAATAAAATTAAAATATAATTTAAATAGTCCAAATTAAAATTGAGTGTTCTAGGCCCATGTATTGTAAGCTTTACTCATTTGGAAAGAAAACCCTTCAAAATGTTTTCAATGATCGAATAGACTATTATTCCCATGCTAGCTATTATTTGAATGCACTGTAGTAAAGAAACAAATATCCTATTGCTTCAGTTTCATATAGATACGTGATTTATTGAAAACAATTGATGAAAAAAATTTAAAAAATGCATAAAAATATCCAACTAAAATAGTCGAGACAAACTTAGGTCCTACCACATGATCCTGAAGGGAATATATCATGCTAACCAAATAGACTAGTTTAGAGCACAAATAAATATAGGTATAAAAAATAATCCAAAACATATCTAACAAAGTGTTATGGGACATATTTAGCAATTCAAGTAAAGATAAGTTGGAAATTGTTTGGGGAATGATTCCTGAGAGCTTGTTAACTGCAAGTTGTAAAATCTTCAAACTCTTGAGTCTTCCTATCTCAACAGGAATTGTTCCTTCAATGAAATTACAACTCCAATCGAATACCTCTAACCTTGATAGATTGAATAGAGATAGTGGAATAAATCCATCAAAACTATTATTTCTAATATTTAAGTACTCCAATATGGATAAATCTCCTATCAATGCTGGAACTTGTCCATGAAAGTCATTGTAGCTCAAGTTCAATAGTTTCAATCTACGTAATCGAACTAACTCTCTTGGTATTTGACCATAAAAACTGTTGCTACTAAGATCAAGTTCAACAAGAAATGAGATATTGCCCAATTGTGGAGATATGGTACCTTTAAGATCCATGCCACCAAGGTTCAAGGAACGAATCCTTCCATGGTGAGTATTGCAGGTGACACCAACCCAATTGCATGGAGAAGAAGAGAGAGACCAAGTAGATAAGGAATCATATGGATCTGAAGTGGTTAAAGATTTAAGGCTAAGAAGTGCAGATTTATCAATAGTGATATTCATATCAATCCAAGCTGAGGAGGATATGAAGCAATGGAGTGAGAAGCTCAGGAAAACACAGGAAGGAGATTTTTTCATGTTGAGCATATCACACTTGTCAAAATTGCAAATTGTGTATCTAGGAAAGCACACATCATTTTATATTTCTCCAATTCCAAAGCAAGTCAAGGCATGCAAACACAACGACAAATGGAAAACTAAAATAACATCTCTATGATAAGATTAAGAAATTCAACTAAAATATTAATTATAATTAGCGTGTTAGGTAAATAATATCTTTTTTTATTATAAGATATTGTTTTAACCTTCTCTCATTGAATTTTACCACATGGATATCAAAGCTATCAAGAGTCTTCAATTGATGAATATGTCATTCGCCGTGCTATTTCAACGGGAATGAGTGTTTTTTTTTTTTAATGGAACCCAAAATAAAAAAGAATGCGCATTGAATGGGTTCCATATTAGTCAATCAATCAAAATAATCAAAACAAAAATACAACAGAGGGACGAAAAAATTTGAAGCCCAATACAAATCTGAATACCGTTTCCAGTGGAAATCTTTGTTTTAAATTAATTTTAATTCTTGTCTTGAATTTATAGATTATTTATTTTAATGAATATACAATAAAATACATAAATTGTATGGAAAAGTTATTTACAAATAACACAGGCAAAGGTTAATTGAAGTGTATCTTTTCCTCCTCCAAACAAAAAGGCGCGAGTATATGCAACAAATAATAAAATAACGAGTACTGTATGATCTGAGGGAGATTTGTTCACAGACTTTGTTCAATGCGGATTTTTACTCATTAACCTTTATTATCATCATTTAGTGAAACCACTAATTGATTTACAAGTTTAATTACATCAACTTTATCACCTCCAATATAATGACCTAAAAGTCTAAAAATAGAAACATTATGAAATTTTAAACAATGGCTATCAAGCAAAAATAATTATCGTTAAAGAGAAAAAAAGTTAATCTAAAAAATTTTAAATTAATTAATTAATATTAAAAGTTTAGAAAATTGATGGCCAACAATAAGTCCATATGACTAATTTTTATTATTAAATTCTTTTTTCTTTTTTTAAAAAAGGATGCATCCATTTACTTTCATGGTTTGATAAAAAAATTTCGAAAGTGTCGGTACATGGCATGCTAGACTTTTTGAAAGCCTTCATAATTTGATCGGATGTATTATATCAATCATCCTTTTGTAGGTACATAGAGTTCTTGACTTGTGAGTAGACCTCAAAGTCACAGTACTCCGTTTAACATGAAATAGTTTATAAATATCTCTTGATGTATATTTTTTTTAATTGCTTATAAGTGTCGTTTCATTAGCTAATTGCTCAAATAAAAATATCACATGCAGCCAACGTCAAAAGTTGCATTATATTTTCCTTAATTTAACTCATCATGGGAACATGGGCTGGCCCATAAGAAAGACTTTTAATGAGAACACAAATAACTAAGAAAAATTAAAAGTTGTCGTGTAAAAGAAGTTGCGAAATGAAAGAGAAGAGCCTTCACTGTGTTATTTCATTTGTGGTCAAATCTAATAGGCTGCAGAGAGTGTCTATCCCCAGAAGAACGCTACTGAGAAGACCCAAAAGTCATAAATAAACGAGGACTTTGAAGTCAAAACCAATGTTGGACCAGTCCCAATCAAAATAAAATTTTAAATAACACATTTAAAAAATAACTTCAACAATCTTTATCCATATATTGCCATACTTGTCCAAATATGTCCCGTAATATTTGTTCATATCAGTCTCATACATGCTAAATTAAACAAACACAATCTCATACTCCAAATACTATTTATTTTCTATTACATATTACCAAATTCATCAAGTGCACCAAACAAACTGTCCAATTAATTAAGCTATAGTATAAATTTCATAATTTACCAGAGCCACTAATAAATCATCAAATATATATATATATATATATAATACTAAAAAACAACCAAAAGATAAATAAAAACAAAAAATAACATAGTTTTGGGTTATTAAAATTAAAAAAACTAATTGCTAACTATTTGACAATTATATCAGCAAGGATCATTTTCAGATTAAAGCAAAACTTGTATGAAATTTTTTAGATTATCTTCATTTTAATTTCCTAACTATAACATATGAAATCATCAATATAAAAATTAGTGAAGTATGAAATCAGTTTTTTAGAAGATTTAAGAACTATTAGCTAATTTTCTTTAAAAAATTAATTTTTTTGTTGATAATGAAATGTAGAAATAAGAATGATATATACTAAAGCACGTGCACATGTACAATTAAAAAATGAAGCACCATATGTTACAATAAACATCACATTAAGGAAGCAATGCCGTAATTGATATTTTCTTTTGAAAACTGAAATAAAAGGAAAGACGAGCATACTTGTTGAGTCTAAAAGCAGAAAATTGTATAATAATCTTAATTTTAAATTTAAAGCAACACTCACTTAAAATCTCTCTACGAAATAGAAATTCGGTAGGTGACCATAAATTCCACATTACATTATTTGAATTGATGGTGTGAAAATGTTGTGTAGAAAAGATGAAAAGAATAATGAAGATTGTGTGTCGTATAATTTTTTCCATTATCTCATTGATTAAGAAGCACAAATTTATTTTCGCTGCATTAACTTTTTTTGTTGTCAAGTATGATAGGCCATAAAATAACCCCAAAAGTTACTTTAGTGAGAAGAAGTTTTTTCCCTTAATTTCACTGTGTTGTACAATTTCACTTTTAGGACCATATTTTCATTTATGGTCAAGTCTGGCAAGCTATAGAGAGTAACCCAATAAAAACGTTATTGAAAAGAAACCTGCATAGATACATTGTCACTTCAATTTTGCATTTCCTTTTCTTTATTTTTTTATTTTTGGGTAAGATAGTTATTCATTTCTTCATTGTGGATATATACATTCTACTATCTATAAAATTCTTGGTTATAATTTACAACAAATCAAACCGCCATGAAATATAAACTGATGAAAGAAATATTTGTTGTGTTTTCTCTCTCGTTCTCATCATTTCACATGGTTACTTAAATAAATACTAAGTATAATTTTAAAATCTTGTGGCTAATTATGTAGTGAATGTGTTATATAATACTAAATATTTGAAGAACAGGTTCTCTTGGAAGAGTTTCATAATATTAATATTATATAACACGTTTACTACGTGTATATATAATCAATTTGTTATTTTAATATTTACTATAAGGAAAAGAAGTTAAGAAGGTTCAGTTCTATAATATCGTTGGGGATCATTGAAAACATACTTGTGGCAGGATTCAAGGAACAAACACCAAGTCTATGCTTCTTGTAAGTGAGGCTAGCCCAATTTTTGGATTTCAAATAGTGTAGTGCATACAAATCCTTGCTATAGTCAGATCTAGTCCTATTTTAGACTTCAAATGTGTGTGCAATATGAGTTTTTCCATGTCTTGGGTGACATCTGGTCATTGAGTTCTGATATTACTTATTAGGAATGAGGAGTAACTATTCAAAAACAATACAAGAGAATAAATGGGCAAGAATAGTAGAGAGATACTATATCTTAACTAAAAATCTCAATAAATAGTTTATGGATACTTTTACTTCATTATACATTAGTTATCAAGCCTTAATTTTATTCGATGTGAGATTTTTCATATCGGCTCAAGTCCACTCATACTTGCACAACCTAACTTTCTTCTCCTTAAGTGTGAGTCTTCTTATATTAAAGATGCCACAAATACTATGTCCCTGCTCCTACAATCAGGTGACATATGGGTTCAAGAGATGAAATTATACTTTCATAAAAGAAAAAAAAAACTTCTTCTCATTACTAAACTAAATACTTTTCTGGGTTCTTTAAGGCCTTGTAGGCTGAAGAAATCTTCAAACTCAAAGTGATGGCTGAAGAAATTGAACAACACAGAATTTTTTTTTTTTTTAATGCGACCTACAATGTGACAAGGATATGCATCGCTACTTTTTCAATTTATACTAAAATGTTATTTTTTGCCTTACTCCTGAAGTTTCTATTAAATGATGATTTCAATAAATTCAAATGCATTAAATTATAAAACTAAATATTTAGTTTTGCATTTCCATTGCTTTATTTCATTTATGGTTATAGTCTAGCTGGTAGGCCATGGAGAGTACCCTAAAATAAAAGTAATAGTGGGATATCAAAAAGTACACAAGTCTTCATACTTTAATTGATTGGATGTATATATCAACCACCCATTTCTCATGGAGTATTTGATTTGTAAGTAGACCTTAAGGTCACACTCCATTTCGCACGAAACAGCTTTTATATGTCTCCTTTAAGTATATTTTATTTTGGTAGTGTCATCTTAATTTAGCCAAAGAAAAATTGCACAGTTGACATACAAAATACATGTAAATAGTGTGGCTTTTAATTATTCTTTGAAAAATTTCATATATTACATGTAAAAAAAATAGTATGTATTTTTAAAAATTCACAACACTCAATGTAACAATCCACTTTTTACGTCAGAGACTTGAAGTGGTAATTATATGCAATTTAAAATAAAAATATTTTGAAAGACTATATTGAAGGATAACATCCTAACAAAATTTAAACTCAATTTGTAAATTTGATTTATAAATTATAATTATTAAAAATAATTAAAGATAACGTGTTTATAATATGAACTGATTTTGGTTCAAAGCTGAATATTGGTCACAATAACATGATATTGTGCGGTATACATCTCTAAAAAACTTGTTAATGCACATAGATATATTTAATTAACTCCTGGCATGCTTGATGGTAGTCATAATCCTTTTGACAAGAAACAACTTCTTATGAATGATACAAGAAACAACGTAGCTTCATTTACTTGTGGGTTAAGTTTAACGTTGGTAATAATAATTAATGCCATTTTGAAATCCTTAAAATTATGCGATCAAAGATAATTTTTTAGATTAAAGCAAAACCTGAATGAAATTTTAGAGATTATATACTTTTTCCTGCATATAAAATATAAAATAACCGATATAAAAATTAGTGAACCATAAGCTATGAAGTCCTGATTATTGGACTTGATTTTTAAAATCGTATTG